AAAAAAAAAAAAAGACAGTGACCCTCTTTTGCAGGGTCACGTTCTTTATCTCACCTACTTTGAAATGTTCCACCCTGTACTCTCATGAATAGTAATCAATAATAAGCAATTAATTCACACCTCAATCGTTCACTTACAAATGCCTATATTTATGATTATGCCTATATTCATAACATAGGTTGGGAACTGAGGATCCAGAGTCAAGGAGTTTGTGGGAGGAGAAAGGCAATTAGTAAGGAGGCCTTATGGCTAGAGAGTGATACATTGAGACGGGCACATAATGCTAGTTGCTTAGAATCGTGTTCTTTTCCTCTAAGAAGAGTCAAAGAACTTTCTCCCCCACCCTGCTCTGTGCCCTGGAGACTGATCTCTGTGTGCTACAACCTTGCTCCCTGGCCTCCCACTGGGCTCACCCGCTGGGAAAACCCAGCGAGACTGGAGTGTGGAAGAAAAGTGAGATGGGGGGAGAGGGGGGGTGGGTATTTCTCCAGTTCTGTCCCTGCTGGGTCTCTGTGGCTGGCACAGCCTTCTGCTGAGGGCCACGCTCCTGCAGGTGGCCTCTCCTCTCTGCAGTGATAGCTGCTCTCCGTCCAGTAGCAGCTGCTACCCTTGCCCCTTCAGGCCTAGACGTGGTAAAAATGACCCTCCAGCCCCTCACTGCTAGCCCCTGGGGGCTGCCACATCCCTTCATTGATTCACTTTAATCCTGCCCACACCTCCATTAAATAGTTCCTTTTTAAAACGCCCCTCAGGAGTGCACCATCTGTTTTCCGCCGGGACCCTGACTGTTATATTAAGTTTACCTTATGTACACGAGGTATATTCAAGTGTCTTGAACTTCAGTTTGATCTTCACTTGATTAATGGTGCCTTTTGATTAATCAAAGCCCCATTTGGCTTTGATTCAGCATATGGATTGGAGCTCTGTGGATTATTTCAGGATTTAGGAGTTCATTTCGTGTGAAGTCCTTTTAGAAGCTGTGTTAAATCACAAAATCTATAGGCAGCCACCAGTGTTAAACATTAAGCTGTGCTTCACGTTTGGGGGGCTCAATTTCTGCAACATTTGTACATTTGCAAATAAAGAGGGAATGTGCCGATGGGAAGCAGGTGTGCCTGCTGACTGGCGGCCTTCGAGACCATTAAGAGGATTATTGTGGAAGGGGAAATGTGCTAGTTAAATAGATTATTTGTGTGCTTGCTTCTCCAGGCTGTGCTGACTGACATTTTACTAATCTATTTAGCAGATTGAAGTTCCAGAACAAGGCAAAAGTAAAAAATGCCACATTCAACAAAGCCAGGTCTGTGAGTAAAATTATGTAACCGATACATTATAATTTTTGATAAATCTGCCCTTTTCCCCCCTTTAAGTAACCAAAGTCATTCTACTTTTAAGAAGCAGCCAGAATTTTCTTTCTCAGAAGCTCCTCCATGTAGGATTGGGCCAATTGGAGGACCATCACAGAAGTATGGTATTTTTACTGTGGTGCCCGGTAGAGCCAGGAGAAATGCTTTCCTGGATTTTTACATAGAAAATTTCCAAGAAGAACACAAAATTCTCTAGCAATTTTCTTCTATACTCAATACATTTTTTTTTTTTTTAAATCCTCTTTCTGGCTTACATTTTAGTTTCGTGAGTTCTCTGCAGTGGACTCTTCATGCAACAACCTTTAAGTTTATTAAATATTGTTTGGAGCATTTAGGTCTGTTGGGCAGTTAACAATAACAGTAAATATCATAAAGAAAGCATTAGTAGGCACTTATAGCCAGGCACTGTTCTAAGCACTTTTATGTGGATTAACAACATTCATTCTCACCAAAGTCTTATAAATAAATCACTGGAGGTGACGTCCAAGTAGCATTTGAATGAACTCATTTGACTGGGAAGGTCCACTCTTTGTACATGCTCTGCTGTGTATATAAAGGTACTAAGTATATAAGTACAGTACTTATAAATATATAAGGCCCTTTCGTGAGTGAATAAGCTCAGGAAAAACATTGAAAAACAGACTAAATGCGGGGCGCCTGGGTGGCTCAGTCGGTTGAGCGTCCAAATTCGGCTCAGGTCATGATCTCACAGCTCCTGAGTTTGAGCCCCGCGACGGGCTCTGTGCCGACAGCTCAGAGCCTGGAGCCTGTTTCAGATTCTGTCTCTCCCTCTCTCTCTCTGACCCTCCCCCGTTCATGCTCTGTCTCTCTCTGTCTCAAAAATAAATAAACGTTAAAAAAAAATTTTTTTTTAAAACAGACTAAATGCAAATCTTACCCTCTTTCATAATAACAGCATTTCTGCCTGCTTAGGTCAGAAACAAGAGATAAGAACTCCACCATGCACTGGTGATGTGTCCTCAGGCAAATCAAAAAACTAAATGTTTAAGGGGCTCCTGAGATGCTTATTAAAATGCAAATTCCTGGGCGCCACTCCAAAAGATTGATTTAGTAGATCGGCATGGGTAGTAAGCACACCAAGGGGGAACACTGCACCAAGCTTCAGTTTCTTTACCCGTAAAGTGTAGGCGGTAGGTGTTCACTCCATCGCTCAAATTCATCAGCAGCAGAGTGATAGCGCAGAGTTGTGGTTCTCGGTGAGCTGCACATTGGAGTTACCTGGGGAGCTCTAAAAACAAATGATGGCTGGGCCCCACCCTCAAAGACTCTGGTTTAGTAGGTCTACGGGCCTGGCAACACAATTTTTAAAAGCTCTTCAGCTGGTCTAATGTACAGCCAGGACTGAAGCTATTATCCTAGAACAGCGGTTCTCAAAGTGTGGTCTCTAGAGCAACAGCATCAGCATACCTTGGAAACTTAGACCTTTAAATTCTCAGGTCCCAAACCTACCTACTTCATCAGAAACCCTAGGGATGGGGGCCAGGAATCTGTGGTTTTAGCCCGCCCTCCAGATGCATCTGATGCATGTTCAGTTTTGAGAGCCACTCTTCCAAAACAACAGGCAGCACAATACACAGCACAACTATGATCGACATTGAAACTAATTCACGTGTCCTCTCTAATGAGCAGCAATGGTAAACGAGGCCAACCTCCCTCATGCTCCGAGCAGGGCCAGCATATCAGAAGGTGTCCAAGTATATTGAATCCCAACTTATTTAGCATACATGCATTCCATGTATGACTTATTCAGTCCCCATAACAAGCCAGCTATTATTATTGTCCTCGGTTTATAGCCAAGAGAACGGAACACAGAAAGGTTGAGGAGCTTGCTCAAGGTAACACAGGCAGTGAATGACAGAACCAGTAACAGAACTGAAGCACTCTTTGTTGTTTAACCCATCAGGTTTGTTTGTTCCTTTAGCCACTTTGCCATGGGTTCTATCAAGACAAATCCCTCATAGAAAAAAAATTAGCTTAGCTGCCCATTGAGGCACACTTATTTTACCAGGGACAAAACCATAGGCTTTGAGATTTCATAACTACTGAAAGCCAACTATTCACTCACTGAAGGTTTATAGCCACCATAACCTCTTAAAAAGTTTTAGAGTAACTATAAACCTTGCTAAAAATTTGTGTTTGTGTGGCGTATGCCCTAAAGATTTGGAGTGAAGTTAAAAATTGAAAGTTGCTTAGCTTTAAGAGAGGGGGGAGAAGGACAAGAGGCAGAGTTGAAATGTTACCTGGAGACATTCCGGTGCCTGGCAAGGCCTTCTGGACACGTCCACCTTGGCATACCAGCAGGAGGCACTCTCAGCCCGAAAACATATACACCTGCCCCAAAGTAAAGCTTCTGCTGGAAAAAAACCACTTGGAATAACCATTGTTTAAATAAGTGTAACCTTTCCTGTTGCCTTTTTAGCAGTATTTTAACATTCTTGACTTTTTTATGGTTGTCATTATTGTTGTTATGGAAATTATTTCCTTTCGCATACATTCCTGACCTCTTTTTATTTCCTAACAGAAAGACTCTTCTCGTTTTCCACCAAGGAAAAGCAAGATTGAGATAGCCAAAGCTGACTGTGTTTTTGGGACCATAAAGGAAGAAGATCTTTGATGAGAAACTCTCATTTTTAAAAATGTCCTTTGGGGGCTGTCTCGACAGTGAAAGAGCTCAGGAATTGAAAGTGGGCTTCCTAGCATGAGTGGAAGAAGTTAAACTCCTTCCCATTTTCTTCTGACGTTAATTAAGATGGGCAGTGTTGACCAAGAGTACTTCAGAACTCTGTTAATCTCAAGATTAAAGAGAACTATGAACCACAGTTATATAGTTTGATTTAAGGACTCATAAATGACAAGCAACAAATCCAAAGCAATTAGTATGTCGTTTGTTCTTTTCTCCCCGCCCCAGAAGAGATGTGTGCCTGGCTTGACGAAGTCTTCAATCTGTTCTGATATTACATGAATGAAAGGCTCGGCATAAAACACTCTAAATGTATTGGGGGTTAGGTTCTGAAGGCGTGACTCAACACCTAAGGAAAATGTGGCTCTAAGAAATGGAATCATTGAAAAAGAAATCTGGATGGACTTCACTGATCTGTCCACAGCACCAGGGCAAGGAAGTGATGAAATACTTACTTGTTTCCTTACATAAGTCTGAGTCCACCAATAGCGATGTACTCAAAGGGATAGGCTGCCCAGTTCTCTGTTTCTCCACTGATGTAGCTGTATTCTGTCTTTAGAATATGGAATTCAGTTCAGTAAGCATCACACTACTTTGAATCTTTTTTATTTTGGAAAGCAATGGGGCCCTGCACTCACTATCGGATACTGTGTTATGTCTCTTAGCTTTAAGACTATGGATACTTTTTAGTTTTTTCCTTATCTGGTTTCAGTTTATCATGATAATAAATGTGATTACATATGGAATTAAGACTGCAATTAGGGAGAGAGACAGAAGAATTTATGTAATGTAATTAGATAAAGTGCAATATTCTAATGTTCTTTTCTAACTGGATTGTGTAACTAATTATGTAATAAATATGAAATATATTCTAGTGAATATAAAATTTACTGATGAAAATTCCGAGACTGATCTTTTTGAAGTGTAGAGTCGATTAAAGCCCTGTACTGTTTATACAGCAATGCCTCTAGCCATCGCCTCTCGTACCATAAAGTTTTATATTTTAGGCGATAGTAGAATGTTTTTGCAGGGGGGAACCGTTAGCATCCCAAGTCACCCACGCTGACTGTATTAATTAATTAGAATACATTGTCAGATTAAAATAGAAGCTTATCTACTGTTTTGCCAATTTCAGAATAGTCCATCTATTTCTTTTTAGTAGCAGACACCTACACTATGTCAGGGCCTATTGGAGACACCGAGAATGCAAAGAGAACTTGTACTTGGGGTGAGAAGATGCAGACACTAGATTGAACCGTACCCAGTTGGTGTTCTGCAGGTCAAACATCGTTGAATGTTGTCAATTTCACGTTTCCACTTGATACTTAAGAGTGAGTAATCCCAGACAGCATGTGGTAGGTGTCCAATGTGTAGCGTGGACCTGTGCGTCGGAGGAAGGTGGGGTGGTCAGGAAGAGGGACTTAGAAGAAGGTATAGAGCCAAGTGGAGGAGAGATGGGGGCACACATACGCAAAGAAAGGGCAGCTGATGGGAGAATGACTACAGTGTTCGTGAAACCAGGAGCAAACCCCCCCTGTGCTGGCAAAGTTTTAGGTTGGAGAGTAGTCAGGAGATAAAGCTAAGAGAGAATAGGGATCAGTATCTATGCATACACAAATGCAGCACTCCTAAAAAATAAGCAGAGCAGTTTATCCCTTATTTGAATATGGCAAAACCAGAAAGATTACAATTCAGTTTTTTTCCCAAGACACCGAGATCATCATCAGTGTCAGGAGATGACAAGAAACAAGGGATGGCGTGCGTCCCAAGCATATACTGGGACAGTAGAAGACAAAATTCAAAACTTACTTTGTGAAATGGTACATCCCCAAGCAGTTATGTGGGAGAAGAAAGATTAGCCCCTTTGGGGATTATTGTGCCTGTCTTCCTCTAGAAAGAGTTGGGGGCTTTGTTTACTTCTGGATCAAAACACTTCATCATTGGGTGAAAAGCCTAAACTCCAACTGCCAGAGTGGTCTTTCCTGCTGCAAGCTCTGAGAGAAGCCAGAAATGGGGCCCCATCACTCCTGGGGGTGACAACGTCACTCTTCTGCGGTGCTGCTGGGCCGGACCTTCCCAGCAGCATGGTCCCGCCACACGGGAGGAGACATCACCCAGCACATGAACTTTGTAAAGGTAGGTAGCTACTGAAATCCTTCCAGTAACTCCTAAGTGGTATAACATGGCTTGGGAAATTACCAGCATATGCTTTAGTCTACGGATTCACTCCATTTATACCCGCAAAACTGGTTCCCAGTCAACCAAATTTTCTTCTGATTCATCTGCTTTCACCAATATCCCTTCTCTCCACTTCTAGACATATGTGTTTGTTCCTACTGCTGTTCATTCTTCTAAAGCTATTGGCGTAAGCGCTGTGCTCACATGCAAACACTAGTTTGAAAAGTTCACAAAATGTAAGATAAAAGGGCAAAGCTGACTCCATTGTGATTGGAGCCCCTGTACCCCTGTGGGGTCCTCTGGAGGGGAGCACGCCTGGGCTTTGTCAGAAGGGCTGACGTGCTCCCCAAAGCCAGGTCTCAGTCTACATCAGTATGTGGTGAGCTCATGGCTTGCACACATCTCCTCGTGGACACTTGGGAAGCGAACTTTATGCTAAATGTGTAAGTTAGAAATTACTTTAAGTTCGACCTCAAAGTGAATTTGAGAAGGGCTAAGTGATCTTAATTTGTGGAAAACCAAACAGGTTCTAAGCCTCAGTGGGAAAATAGTGGCCAAAGTGATCCTACAATACAAAACAAAATAAAACTCAGCAACGGAGCCATCTACCTCTCTGGATGCTTTTTAGTCTTCCGTCTGCAGTGTATTGACCGAGGCCCATGAGGCAAACTGAGGCAGGAGCCCATGTGGACTCTGGACTGCCAGACATGGAGCACAAGGTACTTCTCTCCTTCACTATGGTGGCCTCAATCCTGTCATCAGGGACCCGAGAAAAATAGTCAAGAAAAACTTTGACGTGTTTTTCTCGCTCTTACCACCCCAAAATAAGGCATGCTGGGTTAACTTAGAAAATGTATGGCTGGGGCACTTGGGTGGCTCAGTCAGTTAAGCGTCTGACTTTTGGTTTTGGCTCAGGTCATGATCTCGTGGCTTCATGGGTTCGAGCCCCGCATCAGGCTCTGTGCTGGCACTGTGGAGCCCGCTTGGGATTCTCTCTCTCTCCCTCCCTCTCTGCCTCTCCCCTACTCACGCAGTCTCTGTCTCTCTCAAAATAAACTTTAAAAAAAAAAGGTATGGCTAACACAAATAATCCTTTAGAAGATGGCTTTTCAGCCTTGTAATTGTTCTTTCCCCCCACTTTATTGATGTATAATTGTACTTTGCTTAAAAGTTACTTTATAATAGCTATTTGTTGCATTCTTAAGTAATCAGTTGTTTGTAGAACAGGTTTCCAGATAAGATAACTTAGAGCTATGGAAAAAGTACATGGTGGGCGTGGCTCTTTGGTCTAGCCCTCTAGCCCACGTACTTTTCTGGAGGGCAAAGTCTTTTTAGCTAACCAAATGGGCTTTGGTTGTGTAACATCTTGGAAGAGGTTAGACATTCATTTGATTTAAAGGCACTGACCCTGGCGATTTTGCACTCCTCCTGCACTGAATGTGGTTTCTGTCCCGGAATTGTGGGAACACAAAGTTGGCTGTACTTCCTAATGGCTTTTCCATCTGTCCACATGAGCGCTTATGTGATGGGTTCTGCGGTGCAACAGTTGTCTGGGGTGGAGACGCCTGGAGCAGCAGGCTGAGACTGCAAGTGTGAGTTGGCTTTTCTGTGCACATGCGTGCTCTTATTCTTACTGAAAACTAGTCCCCACAGAATTTCCGGGGAGATCCCCCTCTTTGTAACTGGGTCTAGTGTGCAGAGGAAGAGGTGATGGAAATCTACTGCATCTGGGTCCCGATCAAGGGAAGTTGGAATAATGCGATTTTCTGCAGAACAAAAATGATGAGTAAAACAAATGAAATGGCAGTTATGAATCATATATGTTGTGAAGTCAGCCACTTGGAGACAGGTTCTGTCCAACAATCAGCTGTAGAGATTTTGCTTCACAATAGCTGGTGGAGCATCGGGCTTTCCAGAGGCACTACACCAACAAGTATACCCACTTAGGCGCAGAGGGAAGGCGGTTCCACTCCCCATAACTTGTACAGCATGAGATTGAGGAAGAAAATAGGAAGGCTGCACATCAGAGTTTATCTTCATGTATTGACTGAATTCATATTATAGTGGTTAAATCTATGGTTTCTTACGGGTAACTGGGTTTATATCAATTATATGTCAGCATTACTTTCTCTTTTGCAACTAGCGATGGGTTGTTTGTGTCAAGATGTCCTTTTTCCCTTTTTTCTTTTCATAGCCTCTTTTCCCTTTTCCTTCGTCAAGATTAAAACAAGTGACATGTGATCTTGGGGTGATAATGAAGAGAGGCTGAGATCTTAGTGAGTTCACTGCAGAAAAAAATCCTAAAGCCTTACTGCTCCAGTGCAAGCGCTCTTACCTGGGATTTTCTTCTTAATCCTGCTGGATGATAAAACAAAAACACAAAAGGCAACTGCATTTATTTTTTAATGTACCTCGTGAGCTTGGAAGATAGACACATAAAATGCATTTTTCAGGGCACCTGGGTGGCTCAATTGGTTGAGCATCTGACTTTGGCTCAGGTCATGATCTCGTGGTCTATGGGTTCGAGCCTTGCATCGGGCTCTCTGCTGTGCTCAGTGGGCCCTTTTCAGATCCCCTGTCCTCCTCACTCTCTTCCCCTCCCCGGCTTGCGCTCTCTTCTCAAAAACAAACATTAAAAAAAATACATTTTTCAGGTTTATAAGAAGTAAAAATCATTTGTAAGTCTTTCCCATTCTGTTTGCCTTGAAACAAATATATAGGATAAGAGTAATTCGTATTACTTATCTACCCTTTTC